CACTCTGGGGATCGAGCCAGCAAAAAGGAATCAAACTATGACCTCCTGGTTCAGAGGTGGACACTCAGTCACTAAGCTGTTACAGAATTTACCAGGTGACTGAAAAATATGCAGGAGTACCGGAGGCACAGGACAAACCCATTTATTTTCAGGTGTTTCTCATGTTCTAGTACAGAACTCAGAGGTGGTTTATCTCCAAATCCTGAGCAAGCCGATATGGAGGAAGCTTCCCTTTATACCTCTTTGGTTTCTTTGTCCCCAAATACGGGATGGGACTTCCGGACCTTTTGCGGGTTTTGCAAAAAGCCACATGTGCTGGGATGGAGGCAGTGAGACCACATCTCAAGGCCTGGCCTGGCGCCAGCACTGATAACTCCGTCTGGGGTTGTGTATTGTTCATGCTTGTGTATTGTTCATGGCCTCTCTAAAATGGGGGTAATACTTAGGTAAACAGGTCTTACAGGACCACATAATTAAAAGGGGCAGTGACTATACTATAGGCTAACAAGAATGTGCATTAGGTTAATAGCACATATTCATATTGCTACTCCCCCCCCCCCCCCCGACCCCACCCCCAGTGTCTCCTTTTCCCCTTCAAAGCCATGATGGCTGGGCTCTCTAGTCAGCTTTCTGCTGAGCAGATAACATAGAGGTCCTAACTACTTTTGTATTTCAAGTGCCCCCCCAAAAATGAACTGATCACAATGCTACTCAAGGTGGTACATTTCAAAATATTACATTTGAGAAAATGATTTATATAAAGAAAGAAAGAAAATGAACGTTTTTGCCGTTCTGGAATTCCCCTTCCCCCACCCCGCCTTAATTCTGCCCCTATTTTAATAAAAAGCCCCAACAGCTTCACCTTGATTTTGATCATTTTATTTTTGCTGAGAAACGAACTTTTCAGCTGCATTTGATGGCCAGAAACAAGAATGTCCAATTTTTAACTGGAGCCCTTCAGTAGTAGAAGTATAATTGTCATAGGAGCTTCATAAATTATTTGTTTCTCAGGAGTATATTAGGTCCGGAGAGCAACGGCTGCAGCTTTTCTCTACCTAGGTGATGTTTCAATAAAGCTGTTTCTGTTTTTATTCACTCAAATTTACAGTTTCTCCTTCGTGTTGACACCAAGCAGTGAATCTATTAGTTCCCATTACCAGCAGAACAACACTATGAATGGTTTTATATTTTCTCTCACAAATCCTTTCCAGTTGCATGTATGCCTTTAATTTGATGGAATGTCTGGGTAATACATCTTATTTCTCAACTCTGTCTTCAGGCAAAATCTATGCTTTGTTAAGTTTGTCCTTTCATTAAAAAAAAAAGAAAGAAGAAAGAAAGAAAAAGAAAAGAAAAGAAAAAAGGCAGCTTTGTCCCATCTATTGATCCCAGATTCACTGACTTGATGGTTCTGCCTCCCCCCCTTCTCCCCCAAAAAAACACACAAAACAAAACAAAAAAAAAACAAAACCCCACAACAACTAAGTATCATAGACACCGAGGATATAATTTTTTCAATATTTAAGTGCTATAACATGGTTAGGTCTTTTCTTCCAAGTGTAAACCAAGCTGCAAAACCCCAATTAAAACACATCCTCAGAGCCAGTAGTATAAGCATGTTTTAGCACGTTTTAAAGGCGGTCTGCAGGGATGTAATTATATCGGACAACTGTTGCTCTGACGTTGGAAATAACAGGTTTGTTACATTGCAGTTCTCCAAGTGTGACCGCCTGTGCAGTCCTTCCCTTGCCCTCAGGGGTTCTCAGAGGCCAGCCCCTCAGCCCTGGCTTTGGTTGCACCTCTGAAAGGCTTGGCTGGCCCCATCTGTTTCCTGTTTCTGCTTTGGTTCACATGTAGGGGACCTGGGATGAGCTGAGTTTTTTTTTGGAAGAATTGGAACCATTTGTTTGTGTTGTCAGTGGTATGAGTTTAGTGAACAAGACTCTTCGAGTGAACCTAAAATCAAATCCAATATTGAGAGGTTTCTTAGGGCTCTGCCCCACCCAGGTATTGGGCTGCTGAACTGTTAGCTGATATTTTGGTTTTGTTAAACCAGCGTTTTTCAACCGCTGTTCCGCGGCACACTAGTGTGCCGCGAGATGTTGCCTGGTGTGCCGTAGGTGCAGACAAGACAAGAATTTTATAATTTTTCACTATTTTGTTTACTTAATATTTCATAATAAAGTAATTGTAAAATACTTTCTTTGTGTTTATTTGATTCCTATTCAAGAGAATTACTTTATATATAGTCAATATAGGCACAGAGTTAAATTTTTTAACATTTTCTAATGGTGGTGTGCCTCGTGATTTTTTTCATGAAACAAGTGTGCCTTTGCCCAAAAAAGGTTGAAAAACACTGTGTTAAACAATCACTTGGAGGGGTCTTGTGAATCCAGCCTTCTTTTGGGCCACTGAAGGGAATTTTTCTGGAACCCTAGGAACCCATCATTTTCTTTTAAACTTTCCATGGATTTTTTTTTTTTAAATTAGATTGCAGCCCTACCCTATTTTGATTTCCTCTATTGCAGGCCCAATCCCTGGGCCAGTTGGGGCTCACGTGGGAGGCAAACAATTGATGTGTCTCTCACATCGATGTTTCTCTATCGGTCTCTCCCACTCCCTCTCACTCTCTCTAAAAAATGGGAAACAAATACATTTGGATAAAGATTAACAATAACAAATTAGATTGCATTTTAAAAAAAATCACTACAAAAGCAAAATAACATCATATTTCATAAAATTAAAAGTAATTTCTTAACATAATTTAATTCAATCCAGCTGAGTGCCACATATTGTTAATGATTGCTTTGGTATTGTGATTTATAACAAGAAACACAGAGCCCAGAAAACCCCCAGGAGTTTCTTATGGGGTAAGAACAGAGTGATAAACGTGCCTTTTAGGTTAGAGAGGTGACGTTTGCCAAGTCCCTCGGTAAACCAATTTGGGGACTGGTTGCCAGAAGAACCCACCAGGTGATCAGAGGGTTAAAAATTTTCAATCCCACCCCTGGCCTGGGTGAGGTTAAATCAGTGGCCAGTGGCGATCACTCATGCTTATGTAATGAAGCTCCCTAGGAACCCAAAGGACAGGGTTTGGAGATCTTCAGGTTGGTGAGCGTGTGGCGATGAGGAGTGGCGCCCTGGCGAGGTCATGGAAACTCTGTCCAGCTTCCCACACACAGTGGCTTAGGTCCTACCTTGTCTGGCTGTTTGTCTGTGTCCTTATGTTCCCTTGTTGGGGAGAAACAATTTTTCCTCCACCATAGAAAGGTGTGGTTTTTTTTTGTTTTTGTTTTTGTTTTTGTCTAATAATCAAATCAATATTTGAAAGATTCATAGTGGAAAAACAAATGTTTAATTTTGTGCATACAGGAACCCACATAGACATGAGAGCTTAGAAACAAAGGGAGCAGGAGGCCTAAGTGTAGCAAGGTAATTTTGGCTGCGTAGGAACATGTTCTTCATGAAATAAACTTAAATAACTATTCTTAAACATTTAAATAAGGTTGGATAACCATGACAGACATTTAAATTTAAATAAAGCAGGTCCAACCTCTTAAATCAATGACGTGGAAAAGGCAGGCTGTTAGAAATTCAAAGAGCCCACACCACCAGACAATTAACAGCTCTGACACTCTCTGGAGAGAGCACCAGATTGCAGAGGTGAAGGGCTCAGAGCCACAAGGCTTGCTTTACTGAGCCTAGGAATGGGATGGGACAGGGCTTCCGAGGGGAAGAGGGTCATTCATGGGATGGTAAGAAGAGCAGATGTTCAGTGATTAGATATTTGCCCTGCCCTACAGATGGGTCATAAACATTTATTACTGGTGATAGCTCTTATTATGGGCAAGGCCCTCAATTTAAATTCTTTAAGGGAGAGATTAAAGTTTGTCTTGAGTCCTCAGGGTCTTGATTGCCTTCAGATCAGAGTAATCCACATGCCACAGCCATACGGGGAGGCCAGTTCTGAACTCCTTCAAACCCTGTATGATAAACCAGTAAATGGAAGGTAACATTTCTATGAATTCTTTGCTTTGCTCTCACAAATTAATAAATCCCAAGGAGAGGGTGGTGGGAACCTCTGGTTTAGAGCCAGTCAGCCAAAAAGCACAGGTGACAACGTGAACCTTCCACTGGCGAAACCGCGCTACAAATGGTTGCTTTGTTCTCTCAGTATCTTTTAATCTGGAACAAAAACTGTTCATTCACGTCAGGAACTTGCTGATGAGAGAAATATCATGCACAGTGGCCCACCTGGATCTGGTTCCTTTGTCCCTCTGACACTGTGCTGTCCACTACAGTGGTCACTGATCACACGTGTCCACTGAGCTTTTGAAACATGGCTCGTCCAAATTGCCATGTGTTGTGAGTATAGCATTCACATTGCATTTCTAAGACTTGGTACCAAAAAAAAGGTAAAATAGCCCACTGATAATTTCTTGTACTGAATACAAATTCAAACTGTAATCTGAGCATGTATTATCCATAGGTCATACTACTAAAATTAATTTTATTTGTTTCTTTTCATTTTCTTAGTGTATCTAATGGAAAATTTTATTTGCCTCCCAGTCTATTTCTTCCAGATGGTGCTATTCAACAGATTTTAAAACAAAACTGCTCCCCCAGAATCACTTCACAATCAGTTCTCTGAGATGTTTTGGGAAAAGAACATGGGTAGACTAAAATGTTTTCTTAGCAGAGTGTGATCACATAGTTGCTGTGTCCTTCTAGGTAGGAGCTAACGGATTTTCCATGATAGGTCTAGCTTAAAGCCTGTTCAGACCTAATTTTCTCCAAGTCTGGCATTGTCCAATAGATGAGACAGCTGCTGAAGATTTTGAGTATCTTTGATAGCTGAAAGTATTAAATAATATAAACCTATAAGTGTACCACAAATGCTAAATATAGTTGGTAAGCCAGTGCTGCTGATTTAAAAACAAAAAGTATGTGAGCCGATGCAACGTCATGCTTCATTTGTTCGTGTGTTTGTTTCTTTTTAGTGTTGGACAACTTCGGTCAGATGGTTGGCTCCAGCTTTGGAACTCAGGAAAGCCAGCTTGACTTCCGATCCCCGGAGTTTGTGAGTATTCCTACTCTGTCTCAAATCTGTAATGGTTACCAGAACTTCCTCACCAAGCGGAGGGAAAGGTGTGGCTTCCGTGGCTCTTCCCCTGGCACAGGTCTCGCTGGCAGTGCTGTGGTTCTTTGGGGACCAGGTGACGATAGAACTGTGGTGTCTTGGCATCATGCTCCGTTGGCTCGTTCTGCTACTTGGAATCGTCAATGGGAACTCACTCTGCAGCACAATTGCATCGTGTTTCTGAAGTTCCCCATCATTCGTTCATACCCTGGGTGTCAGCTTCTGTTGTTAGCAACTCAGGAAACCAGTCTTGACTGAGTACAGGTCCATTGACCAGTCTGATTCCCATTTCATTCTGGAACCTTCAGTCATACAACCTGTATAGGTATATCCTATAGGGCTAGGATTATTGTAGGGGTTATTCCTACCAAGAGAGGAACTAAATGCTTCCACTAAATTAGACTCATTCAAGGCTAGCCATGGTTCCTACCCTTAAGGAATTAAAAATATTATTAGGAGCTACTGTGATTTTATTAATGCCTTGTTAAAAGAAAATTAAGCTCATATTATGCTTTATGCAGAATGTCCTCACCAAATAGATTTTCTATTAGATTCACTTGAGGAGGGGGTGGGAAGAAGTGTTTCTCTGACTCCTGTATCCTGTTATTCACCAGATGTGTAGGAAAGCATGCCAGGACCCACCTCCATGGATTGGTTTTTGCCCCCTGCTGTAGGCTTGTCTACCACTTTAGCAATGCAAAATTTTTTTCTGATTTATTTTCAAAGTGTAATATGCAGTCACCACTCCGGCAATTGGCAGAGCACCACTGTATTATTGATAAAGACCAATCCCCCCCCCTCCAGCCCCCCCACAAAACCTCATTATGCGTTTTTCCTCTCTCTTCTCACTCACTCTTTATGGATTGCCCACTCGATTCAGCCAGGAGGAAGAGCTCTGGACTGCGAAGAGATCGCACATCACACTGTACCCACAGTGCCATTGTATTTCAAAGTGTGGGCTCCTGTGGTGTACTAGCAGATTGCCTACTGCGAAAATCACTTGGCTGTAATAGAAAGACATAGTGTTCGATGGCTTCCCTGTTATATTCAATGAGAGTTTCAGTGAGGGAAAATTGGGAGGGCTCACCAGTATTCCTGCATCTTAAAGGGGCAGAGCACTTTTGCGGTGGCTCTAATTTCTGCAGTTAGAGGCCGAAGTGGAACTGACGCAGACGTTTCGCCTTTGAGTATGATATTGGTAGGGGCTCGTAGAGGTGGCCCTCTTTGGTTCTGTTGTTTTCGAACCGCTTTTTTTTTTTTTTTCTGATAACCTGTAAGCAACATATCTAATCTGAAAAAGAGCTCTGTGCAGGAAGGTGGTGGTGTGCTTGGTAAACAATACAATTCACACCATTCCCTGCATGAAAATATAAGTATTTTTTTCTCAAGAACAGATCTTAGTGTGTTATGACGTTGGAGGTTGGCATGCCTCAGTGTTGTCTTTGCCACAGACAATCTACACTGGGAATCTTGTTTTACCTTCAGTGTTACCTGCCCTACGCCCCTTTTTTCGGGTGTGAGGACTGGGCCAGTCCATGCTAGAATGACCAGGACTGGAACTTGGGGATCACAGAATAGACTTACTGTGACTTGTCTTAACAATGAGTCTGAGCACCTCCAAACTGAAAGGAGAGTTTTAGGCTCTGTCTTCCTATTTTCATTTTCCACTCAAGAATATCCAGTCATTTCTTTAGACCACAGTAGAAGAGCAGAAGTTGTTAATCACACTTTCCTTCTGTGTACGGGTGATATCGATGTCTGTAGCCTCGCTATTATCTTTCTCTAATTGTGTGTTCGCACCCATGTTCGGGAAGGAATCTGTGATTTTTCTTGCGCTTTATGGATTTTCACGCATCCGATGCTCACTGCATGCCACATCCCTGTGTGGCCTGTGCATAGCTGCTTCTGTTCTCTCCTCGGCATCACTGTAGGCTGTGTACTCTCAGTTCCACAGTAAACATGTCTTTCCCCAGTGCTGTCTCCATGGTAAACACCAGGAGGTGTGCAAGGTGCCTGGAGAATAAGTCCTCAAGGGAATCGGGGGTAATATTGAAGGGTAGCCTTTTTTGTAGGTAGAATGTTACAGCATCAGTGAAAATGGGTGGCTCACTGGGCCATAGAGGCAGACGGATTGGGCAAACACCAGGACAAAACCCGGTAAGTTGTCCAACCCCTAACTTAAAATCAGAAACAGGTGGTACTGTGACTCTGGGAGCAAAGAGAACCCAACAGCAAAGCAAAATTGAAAACAGGGAGAAGACAGAGAAAAGTAAAAGGAGCTGTAAAGTCAGCATTCTGCTCTCCATCTGGCAGTTTGCTGAGCTGAACCGAAATAAAGCAAGGCACAGACTATGTTTACTCAGGCCTTATCCTCAAATAGTTCAGATTTTAGAAGGATCAAGAGTCTAGTGTTCTTATACAACGGAGTGCATTTATATAGTTTGGCCAACAGGGAGAACGAAAATGCTTATCATTATTTGTTTGTTTCCTTCAGAATTTCCGTTTTTCTTTCCTTTAAAACAAGGCCTCCGAGAGCAGTGCTGGCGGAGTAGCCTTGGTTACCGGCATGATAAGCACATTAAGGGTTCCCTTCGCAGCTCAGGTGTCTACGAAGTGACGAGTCAGGCAGGGCCTGTGTTGCCAGATGGGCCATGGAAATGACTGTAAGTGATGGGTAAACAGATGCTGCAGTGAACCCCTGTGTGGCCTGGAGACAGCAGCCCTCTCTGTGCTCCCCTCGTTCACTGCGGAGATTATCCATTTGTGCTTTGGTCACCAGCGTGTCTGTGCTGTTCCTCTCCGCCTCCCACCCCACTTTGCAGATGAGGCAAGTGTAGCGAAAGCATGCGGAAATGGAGAGGGGTGCACAGAGATGTGGGCACAAGGGGTGTATGTGTGTTTGTGTGTGTGTGTGTGTGTGTGTGTGTGTGTGTGTGTGTGTGTGTGTTTGCTACTCCGAAGCTTGTGAGGTGCTGGGAACATGGTGACACTAAACATGGGCCCACTGTGAGGTGAGGTGGGTGTGGGAGTGAGGTGGAAGAGACCCAGCTAAATGCTGACCTCACAGAGAGGAACTTGGTGATCTTGCTATGCTGGGGAACAGTCAGTCCGGTGCAGGTTTTTGTGTAAGCACAATGAAAATCGGTTTCATAACCTGCTTTATTAACTTAATGTTTCATCCTGAATGTTTCCCTGGCTGTTTTTCCCCAGCTTTACTGAGATTTAATTAGTAAACAATTGACATGTAGCACTGTGTCCGTTTACTGGTTTTTCCCCCTCTAACATTGTTCCTTTGTGTCAATGAAGTATAATTAAATTATAATTTTCAAAACAGTTAGTGCATGGGAGACCTAGTCAAGGAAAGAGTGGTATGGCCAGATGCTCTGGAACCAGGTGATTGGCAACTATTGTTTTGGGACATGGACCCCAAACATAAGACTAGGTGCATCATGACAGGTCTCAGACGCTGGGGAAGGGGACTGGCCAGAGTGAGGCTGGGGATCGAATATCCTTGGTCACCTTGTAGAGTTCAGACTTTGAAGCAGAGTCGGCAGACCTAGGCTGTCTGTTCAGAACTGAGGGTGGAAGGCATGGCTATGGAGCAAAGGTGGTTCTGCACTATGGCACATGAAGATAGAGGGCACCTAAGCTCCCCCAATGCTCTCAGTTTCAGTCTTGGTTAAGAACAAAGGTGACCTGAGGGTGCAGTCATGGCTGACCTCACAAACCTCAGGTTTATTCCAAGCCTCAAGGAGTGGAGGGGTTTAGAGGGAGAAGGGTTGGGTAGTGGTCAAGTCTGTTTCTAGAAACCCCATCTCTGTGAGTATTGGCCTGGGTACTCACATAGGCCCGATTGCCTGAGCACACCTGGGTGAGGGATGTGGGTGGGAAGAACTCGGATCTAGCAACGGGGACTCTGCTTGCAGCAAGCAGGAGAGAAACCAGCCTGGATCAACAGGAAAACACGTGGAAGGAAAGAGAAGGCTAAGGGATTGTGTTTTATGATTTGAGTCTTCCTAATAATATCCCTGTTTCAGGCCTTTTCAAACTTAAGATTTATATTTAACTCTCCTGGCTTTGTGGAGGCAGGAAGATTCTTATCACCTTTTGTCTCATGCTGTTAGTGATGTTTTCCTTTGTTTAGCTTCTACCAAATTTAGAATAAATAATGAGTGTGGACTGGCAAAACAATATTAGGATTACAATAGGATGAACCAGGGAAAATGATGAGAAACCAGGATGTAGAGAGACTAACTAGAAAAATAGACTCAGGAAAATGAAGATTAAAGTGAAGTAAGATACTGCACGTCCCCTTTGTTCAGCACTCACAGTTATGCAGAGAAGGAGGCCATGGTGTAACTGGCTCCCTTTTTTGAGGGAAGATACTACTTTCTAGAAAATACTGCTGTTTCCCTGAAATTCAAATTTGATTGTCTTTCACTAGATGAAAATACAGTAGGTCCTCGGGTTACATCGGAGATCCATTCCTACAGTGCGACGTAATGTGATTTTCACCGTAAGTCGAAACCCACCTACATAAGCACCTATGTCACTCACATGGAGCACATACACAGCAGCAATGAAGTGAAACAGTAAAAAAAAAATTAAAAGAAAGATAACAATTCCTGACCTTTACTTGTAGTAAATAAATAATAAAAAACACAAACCACATATGTACATATGTCAAAATGACAGAACTTTTTTTTAATAAATGGAGATGGTGATGTAATCACGAAACCATGTATGTCAGATACGACATAACCCGAGGACTTCCTGTATGTGTGGTCCCCAAGAAAGAGTTAAAATATTAATTCATTTAACAAATATGTATTTGAAGTCTACTATTTTAGGCACTATAGTGAACAAACACAATATCCTTCTACGTGTGGAGCTTACATTTGGTGGGAGAAACATGATAAATGAAATACATAAAATACACA